CCCACTGCCAGCGGGTATAAAGAGCCCAAGGATGAGGAGACGCACGTAGCCCATGGCTGGCCCGTATCCAAGCCCAAGGGCCAGGGGACGAACGTGGTCCACTATCAGCAGATAACCAGGCCCACAGGCCCTGCGGGGCTCATAGGGACGAACGTCCCCGATCTACGACAGGATATCAAAGGCGGCTCAAGAATGGGCCAAGAGTGATCCAAGTACATGGGGACAAACGTCCCCTCTGGCATTGCTGAGGAGCCAGGGTCCCAGCAGGAGAGAGGAGTTAAAGCCCTGGGGACGAACGTCCCCATCTCGTGGCGGGAAACTAAGATTCTGGCGGGAAGCGCATTTAATGCAGAAGATTTGGTGGTTGGGAGCATGTCGCCCACAACCAGCCACGTCAACGTCTCCAGCTACCCCTCGATAGTATAAATAGCAACATTTATTTCACTGTAAAGGCTTCGCAATTTAGCACTCTAGCACTCCAGTAATAGTATCAGTTCGTAGCATCATTATTGTACGTTCGGCCCCTTCGGCTTGTAACAGTTAAGCGAGTAAAGATAGTTGTTTGGCCACTTCCTGCTTGTTCTTCATTCTTCCTATTCACCCCTTCCATTCGAAACCCTCAGGTTACGTGTTGGGCCTGCGGGTTGAGGGAATAAACCTCAACATATATTAAAGTATTAAATAGAAGTGTATTACTCGTCTTATAGTAATATACTTATATGTTATATTATATATTAGTTGAACAATTATTATATCTACACTTGTGAATTGTTACATTTATAAACATTCGTATTAGTTCATTGCTAGATTTCTCATTAAAGTATTTGCATTTGTTAATTAAAGTAGTTAGCATTGTAAATTAATTAAACTACACTTGTTAGATTAAAATATAAAAGTAGTTGGAATTTAAGTTAATTAAAGTATAAAACTAGTTTGAATTTTAATTAATTAAACTACTCTTGTTAGATTAAAATATAAAAGTAGTTGCAATTTTAGTTAATTTTACTACACAACTAGTTCGAATTTTAATTAATTAAACTACACTTGTTAGATTAAAATATAAAAGTAGTTGCAATTTTAGTTAATTTTACTACATTATTTTATTTGCATTGTTTTTGTACTCACATTAACATATTTGTTAGAATTTAATATTTGTTACATTTTAAGATGGAACGTGGTAGAACTTCTGTAGATATGGGTAACCTCAACCGTAACCGAAAGAAGGAGATTGCGAAGAACCATCCTATTTCACGCAAAGGTAAAGGACGGGCCGGGTCTTCTTCTCAAAGCCGAGATGATTTTGAAACGGATTACCAACGGAGAGATGCGGATGCGATGACCGATCACCAACTAGCCCAACTATTGGAACAACAAGATCCGCGCTTTTACCAACAACAAGACATTCCCGAGGTTGAAGATGAGCTCGAGGATGACGAAGCGGATGAGGGGGGTCCGGAGACGGCCGAGGTCGAGGGTCACGAGACTGAGCGTAAACTCTCTTGAGACGCTTGTTTGCTTCCACGGTTGGTTGAAGGCCCAACGTAGAACTCAAGAAGTAAGCATCACCCCCACCTGCCACTTTATGGAGGAAACAACCAAAGATGGCAGAGATTTCGATTGATTGTTATTTATTACAAAATGTATTTCTTGTTTAAAATTTTCTCGATTCTCAATTGTACTACATATTTCAAATAAATATACTTTAACTTTTTTATGTCCAGAAATTGTTGAATTAATTTTAAAAAGAAAAGCCCGGCCCTACCCAGTACCCGGCCCGGGCCTGGTACTTAACCGGGCCGATTCTGGTTCTAGCATTTCAAAAAAAAACGCTTGGGCCCGGCCCATCACTAGCTCGAAGTCTTCGGCTATATCCTTAGCCTGAAGGTCCTCTAGCCAATCCTCCAACTCGACTTGGTTCTCGGTAGAAGGTGTCTTCAAGATGTCTTGAGAATCAACTTCAAACGACATAACAAGCAAGCCTTCGGGAGATCAAACTTTCTGAGGGAGATCTAAAGTTTTCAACCTAACACTAGATCATGCACCTAGAAACAAACTGCGAGAAAAAGGAAAAATTGATGAAGAACTACCCCAAAAGATGAGTTTAAATCGATGCGAGGTTTCTCTCTCTAAAAAAAGGCAGAGCTTCATTTCAGATTACAAAATGCGCAACCAAAAATGCACCCAGGCAGCCGGGCTAGGGGTAACTTAAATAGTACCATCGATCATTCATATTTCATAATACCACCAAACGGATAGCACCATGATTCTAATTTCTCGGTTGTTATTATTACATTCTTTCGAAGGACATAAATTTATGTCAGCAAAGATTATATGATGAAGTTTTTTATGATGAACGGCATAGTGAGAAATTATAAATGGGAAAGTTCCTGAAATACATTAAAACAGTTTGAAAATTTCAAAATAGGACTGTCATGTTTTATATTCCTGAAATACGAGTAATTACTGACATGTCTAGAAAATACTACCATTTTTGAAGTTTGATACTGCCAAAACATGACAGTAATTAGTCCTATTTTGGGAATAAAAACATGGCAGTCCTATTTTGGAATTTTCAAATCTTTTTAGTCATATTTCAGGTAATATTGTCATTATAAATTTGTATAAATCTCTTTTTAACAACATACGTAGTTTTACTCATTACACAGAAATGTAAAAACTAAACTTCTTTGACTTTGTACAGACGAAATGTTATATTTGACCACAAGTCCATCTGTCCATATGTAAATTAGGATGTTTTTACTTGGACTGTAATTTGCTAATCTGATCTGTAATTTTAGTCTGATCTGGTCTGTAATTTTATTTTTTATATTTTTTGCATAAAGATTTTATTTTTTATATCTATTATAATCCATAAATACTTCGTAGGATTAGGCTTTAATTTTAGGAAACTAATTTAATTATTGATTACCCATTATTCATACAATTTATTTCACAAATCAAGATTTTATTTACTTATTTTTATTTCTTTGTTTTTTAACAGATCAAGATCATCTATATTATTTTGTCACTTGTATGACTTAAAATACGAACAGACTAAACTAAACAATAATAAAATAGTAAGTATACTAATAATAACAACAATAACACTACTACTACTACTACTACTACTACTACTAATAATAATAATAATAATAATAATAATAATAATAATAATAATAATAATAGTAATAATAGTAAAAATAGTAATAATAGTAATAATACTACTAATAATAATAACAATAATAACAATACAACTAATAATAATAGTAATAATAATAATAATAGTAGTAGTAGTAGTAATAATACTAACAATAACAATAACAATAACAATAACAATAACAATAACAATAACAATAACAATAACAATAACAATAACAATAACAATAACAATAATAATAATAATAATAATAATAATAATAAAATATGATCTGGTTTGATCTGATCTAGTCTAGTCCGTTTTGGTCTGGTGTCGGGTGTGGAACAAATTACAGTCCAAATAAAAACAACCTTAATCAATTTCAGACATTCTTAAAAGTCGTTTGAAACCAGGTTTTTAGTCAGGTTGCTCAAATTTTACCGGCCAAGTCTGGACACATCTCACAAGGTTAGTCGATAACTCGATATTCACCGGCTTTCTCCTATTTATGATTTCTCATTAACTAGCAAAGTTTTGGGCCCAAACTGCTAGTTTCCGGGTTGACTGGGCTGGTTTGTCATTTCCCAGGTCAAGTAGGACGGAAACAAATCTAAACACAAATTTTGACCCATGCTCAATCATAATAGAAAATACACCAATTAATAGAGTAGTCCCTCCGTCCCGCTAGAAGGTTCCCGTTGATGGTTTACGATGCTTGACCGACGATAAATAGGGATGGACCCGGGCCGGTCCGGTTCCAGTTCCGGACCGGGCCTGGGCGAGCTTTTTTTGCAAATCCTTGGGCCCGGAACCGGCCCGGGTTGATACCGGGTCCGGACCTAACCGGGCCAGGCCGAGCTGGGCCCGGTTCAATGTCTAATTTTTTTTTTTTTGCTTTCTTGTTATCCCCCGACCCCCCCCCCCCCTCACTCCCCACCCCAAACATCCCCAAAACACCCAGCCCTACCCTAGGAAAAGAAAAAAAATTGAAAAAAAAAAATTGACCTGGGCTCGGCCCGAACCGTTCGGACCGGTTCGCCCAAAACTGGGCTCGAGCCCGACCCGCCCGACCCGCCTAAACGGGCTAAAAGCCCGGAACCGGCCAACCGGTCCCGGTCCGGTCCGGGCCCGCACAGTAGCGGGCCGGTCCGGTTCCGGGCTGGTTCAGCCCGACCCAGTACATCCCTAACAATAAAGCAACTTAATCCTTGTTCACTCCGATTATTTTTAGTAAATAAAATTATAACTTAATCCCTGTTCACTCCGATTATTTTTAGTAAATAAAATTAAAATATTCAGATGCTACATTAAAAGTTTAAAACCATTACAAAGCCTGATAAAAAATGTAAATTTGATAAAAATTTGATACTACGTTTATTAAAATGATTTAAGTTGACGGGAACCTTCTAATGGAATGGAGGTAGTAGTACTACATAGAAGGGAATCATAAACTTCTAGGCTTCTAGCTCGATTGAAAATTGAAAAATAAGTCATCTAAGGGGGTGTTTAGAACTGATTCTGCTTTTGCTTCTTTTTTAAATCTTTTTTAAAGTAGAAACAGAATCAGAATCAGTTTTCAGAAGCTGGTCACCCCCAGCTTCTAAAAAACTGATTCTATGAGTAAATTAGAACACCAGAATCACTTCCGCACTTTCACCCAAACACTCCAACTTCTGCTTCTGCTCCCTGACAATTTTAAGAATCACATCCAAACACCCCTAAAAAATAATGAGTCAATCACATGTCCCTATGACCGAACAAAATAGCTTACAATCTTTGCAAATATTAATTTTTATGCAGTACAACATAATAATGAACTCCCATAGATATTACGGAGTATATAATGTGTAGACATGTGATCAAATTGTTACATATGTATTTCCAAAAATTAACTTTTATAAGAAAAAACTAGCACTTTATATTTGTTGTATTAGGATATATAATTGCAAATAATTATAGTCAAAGATTACATGTTTAAATATTTCAAGTCAAAACAGGCAGATGGATGAAGTAAATCTATCTCTATCTGTTCATTTAAGTACATGATCCTACAGATTATAACACATCCACCAAAAAACTCACATTTGCAACGCAAGCGGTAACAACAAAAGTGTTGTCAAGGCACCCAAACATTCCACACTTAGAGCAGACCAGCGGTCTTCAAAGCAGCCTTGAAGTCTTCCTCACTTTCCCAAGAGGTGATCTGTATTGTTTGATGCAAACAAAGAATCAGCCATACAAAACATCTATCTAACTGTGTTCTTAAAGCAAAACACAATTCAGACCCCTCTCCAATGTAATGTTTTCTCTCTACAGAGAAAAGGTAAAAAGAGGTCTATTTTTCGATGTTTGATTTTGACCCAGCAAAATAAAGGATCAACCCCACATATAAGTGGTTTGCGGGGCCTAGCACCTAGATAGTCTTTATTGGAGCCAAATTATATACTACGTATAAAAAACACATAACAACACAAAAAAACGAGTCAATCAATACACGTAATATGGAAATAATCAGGTCAGGAATAGGGAAGAATGGATGTAATACCTCAGCCACAGGACTGTCGAAGTGGCTCTCAATCTTGGACATCAACATGTTGTCTTTATCATTACAAAGCAAGTTGAAAACAGCACCTATGTCATAATAAAAGTAATAATAATAATAATGTCAAAAGATGAGTGTTCACGAATCACAAACCTAAGTTTGATAACAAGCACTAAAGTAGTCATGAGGGAAAAGTTTAAAGTGGGAGTTACCTTTTCGCCCAAAACGACCGGCTCTACCTATCCTATGCAAGTACACTTCATGGTCTGGCTCGGATGGATGCTCATATTGCACTGGAAGATCATAATTCACGACCAAATTCACCTAAACACCAATTAAACCATATGGTTGGGGTTACCTGATGCCATCCGGACTTCCAAAGTAGTACTGTGTGCAATGCATACCTGGGATTGGTCAAATCCTCGAGCAAGAAGATCTGTTGATATAAGAACTTGTGTTAGCCCCTGCTTGAACTCCTTAATAATTTCGTCCCGGTCTTCGTGGTTCAGAGCACCTTGAATTGTTGTTACCTCATAGCCTAGATCCACTAGTGATTTGTGCAACATATGAGCACTATTCCTTGAACGCACAAATATGATTGTCTGTCCCACCTTCTTACCCAGGTCAAGTATTTTATCCTTAACCACCATGACCTTTGAAAGCTCATCGGGACACTGCACCTTATACTGCTTGACAGACTCCAATGAAAGTTCTTCCTTCTTCACAAAAAGCTGGTTGTAATCTTTAACAAACAGGTCTTCGACAATTTTCTTAACAAAATTCTTGACAGATTCATTGAAAGTTGCAGAAAACAAGAGCACCTGACAGTGTATAACAATAATATAATGTCATCATAAAAATCAAATTACTGACTTTAAAAAGTGAAAAGCTTCCGGAGGGAAATTGTTTAATCATGAGAAAAGGTATGCACCTCTTTTTCTAGAGAAACGTGCATGCCTGATTAGCTACAATATGCATATAAATATAACTCAGGATGGCGAATTAAATGAAGATGTATCCTAATCCTATAGAATTAAAATGGGGCGGATGAAATGGAAGAATGCGTCACGATTTCTATGTAATAAAGGTATGCAGATTAAACTTATCACACAACAATTACACTTGCATTAATGTATGGCATAGAGTGTTGGACGATAAAACAATGTCATATTCAAAAAATGAGTGCGGCTAAGATGTGAATGTTTTGCGTTGAATGTGTGGACATACTAGAAAAGACCGTTTTAAGGAATGAGGCCAAAAGTGAGAGTACCACATGTTGAAGATAAGATGCGAGAGTCTCGACTGCAAGGATTTGTCCATATGTGTAGAATACGAAATGATGCAGTTGTTGGACAATTTGAGAGGTGGGAGAGGAGGCATGGGAGGCGAGGGAGAGGGCAAGCTAGACATGTGGATTAGAGAGGTCAACAATTATATGGTACTTCTTCTGTTAGATATGAGTACGAGTGTGAGAGTATTCGGCTGAAGAATTGATCTGTTTTTGTTTCTCCATTTTTCTTTGTTTAGTATTTTCTCCAATATAACCAACCCCAAATTGGGATTAAGGCTTGGATATTGTTGTATTGTTGTTGTATACATACAAACACAACATTCTACAGTCAACTACAAAACACATATAATCCAAGGTTTATTTGGTTTACACAAACCAAAGATGATTGGTTCTAGGGTTTAGTTGAGTTACTTGCATCATATAGAGGAAAATTAATTCTTAAAAAACTATAACTTATCATTCCTTAGTAGAATGGTTTGATCTCTGACCTGGCAATCGGCCTTGCCGTTTAAAATGGCCTTCATTATTTTTATAGAGTCATCCTGAAAGCCACCCTGCATTGGAAGATAGATCAGATATGTGAGTTGCCTTTGTTTTGGGAACCAATATCAGTTAAGCCAATTAACACGTCAAGAATCCTTGAAAAGCAATTAATTTGTCCTCTACTTCAACCAATTTATCAAACACCTTTCAAAAAGTCATTCATGTGTGCCACGTTTTGTATTCATTTTGGTAGTTCAGTTGGTTGTTGGATTAGGTCAATAAGGTTCTTCAAACAGGAAAATGCTCCACTTTTCTTGACCATGTAAAATACTGGCACTCAAAAGCGGATAACAACATAATAGTTCAGAACCTCATTTGACAGAAAACTAAAGCATGATGTTTAAAAAGCACCAGGTGCTAAGTAAAACCTTAAAGACACACATGCACGCAGCATGCACAAACGTGAGAGAAAACAAGAGAATAAATTACATTCAAAAGAAAAATGTTGTTTCATGAAAAGGCCTCCACACGTGTTTTGTAAAAATTCGATATTCAATTATATAAAACACATTACTTGACTTGTGCAGATTGGGATGCATAAACTAGACAGGGAAAAATGTACGAACTGTGGCAGCATTTTTGGATAATGAAAGAGCAGCCTAAATTGCATGTATGCTAAATTCAAAAAACAAATATCTGCCTGCAGCAAACTTTTGGATATCAGGCACTATCTATTTCTTTTAGAAAGGAGATCAAAATAGAGGTTCCTATGATGACTGACAACATATTGACCATCATGCAGACATAGAACAACACAATTACCTCTGCTAACATGTGGTCCGCCTCATCAAATACCAGAATTTTCATGCAACTTGTGCCCAGTTTCTTAGCAACAACCCACTTTTTTATTGTCCCAGGAGTACCAATTATGACTTGAGCTGTAATAGGGGGTCGCTTATTAATTGGAACATAGTTGTCCTTGCTTGGTGGTATGCCCAGTTCTGATGTTATACCAGTATATTTTCCCATCTTTAACAAAACTTCCATATTCTGCAACAGAATCCAAGAGAGCATGATTAGAAAGAAAACAGTTTACTATATTACAGTTTGATATGTCAATTGACAGTTTCACCCCCTTTTTTCACACCTCTTTGTTAACATTAAATTCTTACATGTGGAAGTTCTAAGCATAAAGTGAGGCAGCAAAACTGGCAAAACCTCAACAGAATGAAGCAACAAATTGGTGCAGTATTTTTTCTTAATTTTATTTTTAATTTCATCATCTGATGCACATCTAATAATACATTTTCAATTCTTATGTTTGTAACTCTATCGACCGACCTGTAATATATTTTGTGAAATACAATAGAGATCCAAATCGGTACTTATAGACTCCCTCCATCCCAAAAATACTATCCAGTTTGACTTGGCACGCTTATTAATAAAGTGGAAATAAAGTGGAAATGTATGGTTGTGGTTGCGTTAGAAAAAGGTAAATAAATGTTAGCCACACAAATCACTCCATAAAAGGAAATTCGAAGAATTTAATGGAAGTTGGGACATCCCAAAAGGAAAAGTGGAAAGATTTTTTTGGGACGGAGGTAGTAGAACTATAACACATAAATAAAATTGATTATTATAAGGACCTATTCTTTTGGTAAAATATTTGTTCTGGTCTGCTGTGGTGTATTCCAAGTTTAGTGTGGTATTAGTTGTAACAGTATGAGTGTTGCAAGTTAAGTCTGGGGTGATTTTGATATGGTTTAGAACTGAAAAAATTCCAAATTTCCAATAGAACACGTCTGTGATCACAGAAAGCATTTTGAAGGCAACTAAACACCAAAATATTTAACAAAAGTGAAAAGATCTAACAGGAGTAAACATAGGCAAAATACCTAAATAAGAGTATCTAAGTTTTAAACTTATATAGGACTGAAAATAGGATGATCGAACATGACTAACCCTCATTCAAAATTAAAGAACAACAATGCTTTTTTACAATAATCAAAGAATTAATGATTTACAACAATTCGCTGCCTCTGGTGGTGGATGCCGGAAACCACCACCAGATTGTGGCCACCTATGTTAGGCTTTGGTGAAATTTTATAATATTCGAGAGAAATTCCAGTAACTCCTTACATTCTCAAACATTACAACTCTTAAAACTCTCATTCCTAACACTCACTCCTAACATCGTCATTCTAATAATGTAGTCACTGATAAGAATGTCACACGCTTTACTCTACTAGATTAACATTATGAAACAATTCCAGTCATAAAACCCATTTCTAACAGTATTAATTAATCCTAATTAAGTCACTCTTGACATTGTTACTTCTAACACTGACATCAATAACATTGTTACCCATAACACACTTAACTCGTGACATGGCCCCTCTACTGTTATTAGTATTGTCGTTATATTTCTCTGCCACCATGTACATTGTCAAAGAGTGTTGGTGTTTTCGGACAAAAATTATACGTATATGATATAACACTCCTATTGAGGGATAAAAGATTAAAGGCTCCTATTTAGATACACGTGTCATGTTTTACTCCAATCTAGAACCATTTTTATGAACAAATGGCATCCAAAATGCATACATCACATAATGCATTCGAATTGGCAACTTTATAAATGTTATGAATATGATACTCTAGTAAATATTTGTATACTCTGGTTCAGTCAGACAATATCGTGGTGAAAAAATACAGCTAATATGTACACACCTGAATGGCAAGTTCTCTAGTGGGGCAGATGCAGAGAGCCTGAGGGGCACCGAGTCTAGGATCAACTCGGCTCAACATTCCCAGCACAAAGCATGTTGTTTTTCCGGATCCATTGTGAGCCTGGGCGATCAGATTTTTATGGGGTGGAGTTAAAATCATAGGCAAAGATATGCCCTGAATTTTACTCGGCCTCTCGAAATTCATCTCCGCGTATAATCCTCTCAACAACTCCGGTGACAAGTTCAAGTCTTCGAATGTTTTAGCAGATTTATACAGTGTGTCCCCAGATGTAACCTAATTCACCAAAACCGAACTCAGATAGCATTTAATTAACCCAAATAAACATAACAGTTATTAGTCATTGATATGGTTTAAATAGAAGGGAATTTACGGTTTGGATACTGTCATCATCAGGGTTAGATATGGATTGGTTATCAGTGATGACATTACTGTCATCACTCAATGCCAAAGAAGCAATAGAGGGCTCTGCCATTCTGGATGATGATGACTACGTGTGATCCCAGAACTTCCTGGATTGACTGAGCCGCTGAAGGTTGAGTGGCGGAGAGCAGGCGACTGAGCGACGGGAGTGATGTGAGTAGTTGACGAATGAAGAGGCGTGCTGCGGTGCTGCTGATGTGCTGCGTGTTGGCGTCTGACGGAGGATGAAACCGCGAAGAGAATCGGCGACTTGGCGGAGAGTTCAACCGTTTGTGGATGATAGATGTCGATGGATCCCAACTCCAGAGATGTTTGCTCGGCTTAGCCTTTAATTAATATCGGACGTTTTGGTTTGTTGGACAAGAATATTGGGCCTAATATTTTTTTAATCATTTTTGGAGCTGCATCCTGGTATATACTGTTTCTCAAGACTGCCGGTGGAACTGAGTTCTAGAATCTATTTCTATTTCGAAGTTTGGGAAGAGATCATGAACTGATGAAGAGTCATATCGGTAAAAAAAATCAAGATTACGAAATGAGGAAAGGGTCAATTGAGTACATCAACTTGTACGAGATGGAGTAAAGAATACACTATATTGCATTTGATCTTTTTAAGTATACAAATTCGGGATTTTAGTGTTAATTGAGTACATTTGTTGGATTAACATGTTAATACAGTTGAGTTGGCTAACGAATGTCGAGTAAGAAGGGGTAATGGACCGAGGTTATGGTGCCGACCTTCACGAAGTCGACAAAAAGGGAAAATCGACCTTCGGAAGTCGACCTGCGGGGGGGCGTCGGCCAGCAAGGGTGCATCGAACAAGGAGAAGTCGACCTGCGGGGGACTGAATTCGACCAAGGGGAAGTCGATCAAGCGACTGGGGGCTAGCGTCGACCTTCAAAAAGTCAATTTATTAGCATTCTGTTAGCCAACTCAGTCGTATTAACGTGTTAATCTAACGGGTGTACTCAATTAACATTAAAAACTCGAACTTATGTACTTAAAAAGATCAAATGCATTATAGTGTACTCTACCTCATTACGAAATATAAGTCAATTAGTGAAACACAGGAAGAAAGGGCTTTATTAATCGGAAAGGTTTAGTTGATCGGTGTGCGTTTAGAGATGGATGGTGGTTTATTTATGTGATGTAAGAATGTGAAATATGTGTGTTTGGTAAAGAAAGAGTTATGGCGTGGATGAGAAATAAGAATAATCGCGGAGAAAGAAAATGATATATTTGAGTGTTCCTTTTTCTTATTCGAGTTAAAATAGTGTAATACGAATAGTGTATTTCAGATTTTCGACTTGAGTTGAACTAAAATAAGATTTCAAACTATTGGTGTACAATCAATGTTTAATAATGTAAGAATGAAACTATAATCTTTATTTTAAATCTTTTTTATAATTTAAAGTGTGCAGTAAAGTTTCATATACTTCTAACTATATTAAAATAAATCCATGAGTTTGAAATAATATGCATTTTTTATGAATGATGTGAGAGTTGTAACAAAGGAAATTATATTTCTAGCACAAAAGATATACTCCGTATAAAATAGTATCCTTAGATAGCCCAATAGTCTAAAAACCCAAACAAACAAGATAACCCAATCGTCTTTGTTTTACTATAGTAGACTGATCACTTTGAAATCCTATAATACCTAAATCAAATCAAATCAAACGAGATCATATTAGATTGGGTCTGACAAGAATTAGACAATACTAAAAACGTGTAGAAAAATATCTATCACACCACATAAAAAGTAAGGAAATTGACGTAGATTTTTTTGGAGGGATTCACCAAAATCCATAGAGGATATGATAGGAATATGTTAAATTCGTGTCAAAAACATTTTGGCACAAGCAGTTTGGCATGAAATCACCGGTCAATTCGTATCAATCCCGTAATTTTTGTGTGGTGATCATATAAGATCATATCATTTCAAACCAATTAAAAACATCTTTAATAAAATTTTAATAAGAAGTCCATATTTTAATCACATATGCTATAACTTTTCTCAACTAAATAAGCAAGAAATTAATTTTTATGAATGACCAATATAACTTATAATCTCAAATCCAAAAATTTTGAGATCCGTTTCAAACCCCGTTTTCCGATCCGGTACAATACCGGTCCGGTTCCGCATCATGCCGGTACAAAAAATCTAAAGCTTTTACTCATTTTTGTAATTTTCAAAAACTAGTTGAAAACTTGTTTACTTGTAAAATTACATGTTATCAAAGTGACGGTGGTGGTAAATTTGTAAATTCTTCCTTCACCAATCACTTTCTTAATTGTGGTATTCTTTTCCGTAATTTTTTTTCAGATACTCCTGTTAGAGAACAATTAATTTGAAAAACATAAATTAATTGGAAAATATTTGTTATTTTATATATTGACAGATAAAAAAAGTCATATATAAAATATTACTTAATTCAGATAAACGTCCTAGCATCGGGTCACACCTTAATCATATATACGACTCAAGGTGATTGTTGGAAAAAATTTCCAACAATGTTTCAAAAAAAAACTAAAAAAACCCCGATGAAATATTCCGACAATGACAGTTTTAGGCGACAACCATCGGCAGATGCGACCGGAGCTAGCAATGGGATAAGGGACAAGGATGTTGTAAGGAATATATTTTATTGTGTTCAATTGATTTAACTTTTGTTGAGGTTTAGTCCCGTAGATCTGAAAGCCCAACACAGACTTTGGATATATCAGGAAATAGGTAATAATTCGGTATGTAAAAGAAAATATAAAAGATTGATAACTGAATGCTCAAAAGCTCACTTGTATTAATTGACCTGTTTGATTACAAGGAAATTACCCGAACGGTACGTCGAATTGATGCTTAATACAAGAAACGAGAGTAATAAGGCTATTCTAGGGCTTGAGTATTAAAAAGTTAACCCTTACAATGATATTAAACCTTCTATTTATACTAATGGAGAGTATGAGATGCTTTATGTTGATTGGCCGATGTTCCACCGACTTGATCACACATACCTCCACTTGATGATGTCACAATCTGGCATTAATTGCACCTGGCCACATGCTGGTTGTGCGTTGCCCGAACGGGATAATGGGCCCTGTAAAACATCGGCGATTTGGCCCAAGTATGATGTATGACCCGAACCCCGTTCGGTATGTCTGTTTTTTGGGCCAGCCTTTGCTTTGCCTGAACCTCGTTCGATATGAATATCTCACTGGGCCTACTTATCATAAGGTAGTGGACTCGTTGTTTGGGCTGGATGTCCTGGGCCTTTAATCCGGGTATTGGGCCTCCGGGTCAATATCCCAACACGAGTCCCCCACTTCCGATGTCTCGAATGACAGTGAATCCATGAGGAAGTATAAGTGCCATGATATAAATGCCGAATGACGATCGGGGTACAGAAGTGGTCAGTTCCCCATACTGTAAATTGCTCTCATTTGAATGTTTCAAAATAAATATTTTTAATTTTTTTACTAATAAGGTATAAAAGATATTAATGGTTAAACTTGTGTGTTGGCAAACATGAAAAGTGGACCATTGCATTTAAAAAAGAATGAGGGAAGTACTACATATTTATCAAAATATTGATATACACTTACTTTAGGTTGTTTATTTTTTCATGTTAAGTAATTAATTTTGTCTGCTATATTTTAAAATATCATCTTTTTTAACGATGGTATTTGTTAAAACCTGGGGTTTCATCCTAAAAGGTCAACCTGATAGGAGGAGTAACTCATGCCTTAATATAGCACTTTGTTGATTCAAACTTTTCCGGTGTGAGATTCTAACACCCCTCCTCACGACCAGACACTTCGTCTAGATCATGCCGCCAGTCATTTTTTCGTCGATTCGTCATTGTCATTTTTTTAATCATGTCATCATTTTTTCATAAAGGGCCCACATCATGGTTATGGATCGGTTTGGCTCTGATACCATGTTAAGACTTGGGGTTCCATCTTAAAAGGTCAACCTCAAAGGAAGAGTAGCTCAAAGTCTTATATGGTGGTTTATTGTTTTATAACTTTCCGGTGTGGGATAAATAATCCAACACGCCCCCTCAACCCGAACCGGTCTGGATAATATCGGGGTGTATAAATGGGCCAAACAGACCCTTAACAAGCTACCCGTAATCATGGGTGCTAAACAAGCTGTCAAACCACAACCGGGATTGGCTCTGATACCATGTTAAGACCCGGGATTTCATCCTGAAAGGTCAACCTGATAGGAGGAGTAACTCATGTCTTAATATAGCACTTTGTTGATTCAAACTTTTCCGGTGTGGGATTCTAACAGTATTATTTATTATTTTCTCTTTATTATTTTAAAATATCATCTTTTTTAATATATTCATGTGCATCACTTTGTTAGAGATGGATTGGTTGACATTACTGGATTCACTCAACGCCAAAGAAGCAATAGAAACTTCAGAGCTAGACTCAGATTCATCCGCCTCATCAGCCCAACTTTTAGAGGGCTCCGTCATTTTTTCTAATCCCAGAACTTTCTTGATGGGTGAAGAATGAAGATGATGACTACGGGTGATCCCAGAACTTCCTGGATGGGCGAAGAATGAAGATGACTATATTTAATTGGGACGTTGCTTAATTTCTACGACACCTTTAAAACCTTCTAGTGAACTAACAAAGTAGAAGGCACTTATCATAATGTAATTTTAAATAATTAAATCATACATTTGTCTGATCCGGTCTGATATCGAGACCGATTCTCATTTTATGAGAACCGGTCATAGTATTGTTTGAAATCGGTGCGACCCGGTTCAATACAAAAATTTTGAGATCCGTTTCAAACCCCGTTTTCTGATCCGGTACAATACCGGTCCGGTTCCGGATCATGCCGGTACAAAAAATCTAAGGCTTTTACTCATTTTTGTAATTTTCAAAAACTAGTTGAAAACTTGTTTACTTGTAAAATTACATGTTATCAAAGTGACGGTGGTGGTAAATTTGTAAATTCTTCCTTCACCAATCACTTTCTTAATTGTGGTATTCTTTTCCGTAATTTTTTTTCAGATACTCCTGTTAGAGAACAATTAATTGGAAAAACATAAATTAATTGGAAAATATTTGTTATTTTATATATTGACAGATAAAAAAAGTCATATAAAAAATATTACTTAATTCAGATAAACGTCCTAGCATCGGGTCACACCTTAATCAAATATACGACTCAAGGTGATTGTTGGAAAAAAATTCCAACAATATTTCAAAAAAAAAACTAAAAAAATCCCGATGAAATATTCCGACAATGACAGTTTTAGGCGACAACCATCGGCAGATGCGACCGGAGCTAGCAATAGGATAAGGGACAAGGATGTTGTTAGGAATATATTTTATTGTGTT